ATTATCTCTAAATCCAGACGACTAATTGCGCTTATAAATGAGAACTTCTTGACAAGTGAGGCTCAGCTTACACTCTTCAGAATGTGTATAAGGCCTTCACTTGAATACTGCTCAATTATCTTCTCAAACCTGGATATCATGGACAACATACGAGTAGAAAATGTCCAGACAAGCTTCACCTGGAGACTGAGAGGATGGAGAAATAACCTCAACTACACAGAAAGATGGGAACATCTTTCCCTAGAACCTCTATGCCGCCGTCGGTTGAAAAACAACCTAATACTTCTCTATAAACTGATAAATGGTCTCTAGTTCATAAAATACCGCCCAATTATGAACCACGACACTGCTTACGGACTTAGAAACAATGCCTGTACACTATTAACGGCAAAACACAAAAAATGATTGCGTTGTAATTTCCTTGTAATACGATACAGTCTATTGTGGAACAGGTTACCAATTACTATTCGTATCTGTGACACAATCACTAAGTTCAAGAAACTAGTCATGCTGTTGTTAGATTTTTTATTCCAAACAGTATATTTATTCTAACACTAGATTGAGAACAAATACAAATCCATTGGATGAATTTTTACGGATTGGCTCTCAGTTTTGTAGTGCCTCCACATATATTCCAGTTCGCTCATATTTAATTTGGTTAAGCCCTTTCGATTAATTTATTTAACCAAGTCATTTGTATTGCAACAATTTATATGTACCATTCGTTCTTATTATTGTCTGGTTTGTATGAGCTCACATGACGTGTTCCACACGTCATTTGACCTTGTCAACTATTCGTCGCTTTTATTCATGTGTGCCTATTTCGCTTGTCGCATGTTTGTCTTATGTTTGTCTGACTATATATTCTCAGTCACGCTCTATCTCTTGGAGTTGGCTCAACAGCCTTTTCCGATTCACGTTGTTTCTTTCGTTCTATTCACTGCTTCTCCGCTTCGCTTTGTGGTGTGTCCCAAATAAACGTATTCAACACTACGAGTTCACCTTCTGATTTATAACCGTCAGACGCCATTTAGAAACGATTGTCTAGACGAGCTAATTATCGAGCGCAATAAATCGATACACTACAAAAGGTGACTTCACTTGGACGAAGAAAAACATGACCGGATAAATAGCAACAATAATAATTATAACCAACTGTATCAGTGAACTTTTTACCGAACATTTTGTTTATACATACTTTTGTAACTCACTGACTTGCTTACGAGATGACGATCTTGCTTTTACTGCTTTGTACATTCTCCCAATTGTGTGTCACGTTTCGGCATTCTTTTGACATCAAGAAGTCGCCAGCAGATGCATTAATCTGGCCACTCCTGTCTTCTCACTTTCGATAAATGATTTGGGACCCGAACCTGATTGGTCTAAAGACGTGTCCACAGTCTTTCAACTGAAATAACTAGAATAGTTCCATAGTAGTCCGTGACGCTTGATAGCTAGTTATCATAACCCAATGGTTTTTTGAAGTGAAGGCTAAACAGTCGGGAATTCAACAGTAACTACTGACAAAGCAACAAAAATCAAAAATATGCTTATGCACCTCTAGAAATGATTTATTTGTCAGTGATAGCTAGTCACTCACACAGGTCAAACTATTTGATGTTACTCAGGTAGCTTGTAACTCACACAAAAATTTCATAGTCTCCGAGACCATAGAAAATATAACACAACCACACGTAGTACAAATGTTGGAGCAACAAACCAATATAGAGCACGCTACGCTTAGTCAGTCATTGCTCATCACACAGAAATCTTTTAGTACATAATATTATTTGGCTAATTTTAACACCGTATGATAATTTGAAGTAGTCAGCTCAACATGCTAACTAGTAAAACCCATAACTGTCCAATCAGTATTCTGATAGTCAAGAATGAGCTGGTATTCTATGAGCACAGCCTAAAGTGTTATATTTGATATTCTTATACGATATACCATTAATTGCATCATCACACATCTAACGAAACAACCGATACACTATAAAAGCCTTTACAAATGAAGGCAGATATTGAAAGGTGTATGTGACTTGAATAATTTTAGCAAGGTTTCAATCACTGGACCAAAAGGTTAGATAGTAAAGCTTTCATTATCCTTTTGGATATTATCAGAACAAACTCCAACAGAAGTCGAATTGTTGAATTTACCTATACATAATTGATCGCTTGTTTTGTAGACCTTACTCTTGATTAGCTGTCATAGATTTTGTCCTATAATTATCTGCATATTAATTTTGAGAGTCTTTCTCTTTACCCTGATTGATTATCTAATAATTGTACAGGGCAGTCTAGTTGAGAAACTAGTCTAGTCTCTGTATGCTTATTGAATTTTGTTTGACGTGAGCTCCAAGCTTCCGAAAGTAATCTAGTACACTTTATATCCCTTCCATCCGAAAGCTTAATCATTTTAGGTTGAATGCGTGTCCACAAATGCCTACATACATTAGCATAAGCGTCATCGCATGAGACAACTAGTTGTTGTTCATTCAAATGGAGATGAAGAGGGCGATCACTTAGTTTAACATTAGGTTTATAAAAATAAGAGAAACTTGTACATGCTGTTAGAATTCTATCATTTCTTCATTTGATCTTTTTGTTTGCGTAAGACTGCTAGAGGTGATTTTTCGAGTTTAAGCTTTATGATAAACCAAATATCTTCAATAATATTTTTGTGATTTCCAGCATATCTGTTATATGTCGTAAGATGATCAGCTGGTTGATTCCGACATTAAATATCGTTTTTACTGATGAGTTTGACTGACAATTTTTGATAAACTTGAGTGAGTAGCAAATCCCATCACTGACAGCTATATCCTTTGAGCTGGTAACAAAACTAATACCAATAAACGGGAAATATAAAAAACGTAGAAATATCTTATCGCACATCAGTCCAATGTAGTTAACTATTTAAATATGTAAGGTTTCAATCTCCTCAATTAGTTTATAGTGTCATAACATTTGTTAAATTAGCCATGACTTCACTCCCTGTTATCTACTTAATACGATCAATCTTTCGAAAATCAACTTATTAGTAGGTTTGATGAAACCAACCATCTATCACATAATAATTTTAGTGTTAAGATGGCACTTTTGACTTTATATCGAACAGTCAGGCTAGTGCCGTCATTTCGGTTGATAGCTGTGATGTCAGAACAAACATAAAGCAACTGAGAACTTGCATAAAAGCCCTATTTAAGGTTACTGTTTATGTTTTTAGTGTATTATTATTAATTCCTCAAACAACTGTATTTCTGTATTCTCCCACCTGCAGTTTTTCGTTTGATTCGCACGCTACTGCAGTGTGTTTTACCTTTCCTAAATTACCGTTAATTAGTTAAAAACTTTTTACTCAGCCCTATTACAATTATGGCGCATTTATACCCACATTGCAAGTTCCCAATTTTTTCAACAAGTGGTCAGGATTTTTCTCTATATATGCGGGATCAATAATTCCAAACTGTATTATTAGAGGCTGTCTGCGTGATGAGTTGTTTTCTCTCCTATATACAGGATGAGCGAGCGTAGAAAATCGCATTCTGAAACAACAGTCACTTGGTATTTTTCTCGATTGCTTCCGGACGTTTGTCGTGTTATTATCGATTGAAGGTCATTAGTACTAGATAGATTTTACAGACGAATTAATCAATACTCGGACTAAATCATTTGCTTTTCAGTTCGGATTCACGGATCTCAAATAATTTAAATAAAAAATCTTTACTTTCACTGACACATTAGTTCCTTAACAATATCGTAAACATATTTTAAGATTAAATACTTTGATATTTAGTGTTATTAATTTTTTATCGTACATTGCAGCATGCGTTTTCATAATTTTGTTCGTGATGTAAAATGTGACAACCGAACCTCCGCTTTTTCATAATCAACGCAATAAAAGAATTTCGACGTTAAAATCTTAATTTTGTCCTATCATCATAGTCATTTACATGTACACAAAAGAATACACCAGAATAACTGACAAAAACCAAATACATCAAACGAAAGAAAAAACTGAACAAAAATATTTGTTGAAATCTGACAATGCTCATTAGAAACGACTTTTACGGTAATGAAAAATGATTGAAATAATGAATAGAACAACAGTTTGTAGCTTGATCAGTTCACCTAGTTATTTACCCATCTATACTCACCTATACATTGAAATAATACGTCAAACCATATGGACTGCATTAGACTACTCAACAATTAATAACTTCATGTAAAGAAATGGGCAATTTATAAAGAAAATGTCAATAACAAATCAGCAGTTAATTTATAAAAAATGAAGTAACAATATATTAAACAAATAATATGAACATCTGAACTAACTGATGATCAAAACTGAGATAGATAGATACAAGAAGTAAAAGAGGGAAATTAGCATGACGTTTGTAAAAATCTGTAGCGAATATTTATATTCCAACCTTGTTTCGTATTTATTCATATATCTTCTGTAAGAATACTTTATATATCATATTGTGAATTGTAATTCGTTTAAAACTAAACAATTATGCTAATACTCTCCCTCTCTCTCTCTCTCTCTCGATATATATATATATATATATATATATATATATATATATTCCACATCCGCATGTGTGATGTTTTATTTATGTGTACAATATTAACTTTGCGAGATAGGAATACAAATAAAAGGTAAAGTCCAAGAAACTAAGAAGGAAATTGAGAAATAGAATGATGAAAATGAACAGAAATGCGGAAAAGAAGCAGTTGAAAAGTGAATAAAAGGAAGGAAACAAGCTAGAACTTTCTAAATGTCAGTTATGTATAATAAATATGACTAAATAATTATTGAGCATTGATTTATCAACAGTTGACTTGAAATAGAAAAAGCTCATAAATTAAACTTATATAAAACAATATCTTTTCATCTAGTATTTACCGATTCCGATGGATAGCAACGTCATGATTGATTATTTACTGTGATTATAAAATCGAAAGAAACATTAAATTATGGTTATACAGGACTGTCATTCACATGGACTTGTTACACTTTCATTGGCTTCAGTATTTGTAGGAGCTGGAAAAAGTTGTTTATTGGACAGTGAAGACTGAAACAGAAGAGTTATATCAAGAGAATTGCACTTGCCATTGATAATTTAACAAGAAATATGAACATTAGAAAATTTATTGAAAAAAAAACGATAAGTTTGCAAACAAATATACGGTAAGTAGGTTCTCAATGTATGAGAATTGAATAAATCAAAAAGTTAAATATTATTTAGCCTTTAAGCTTATAACTTAATGGAAATTAATTCCGTGCATAAAATAATGAGTTATTTGATTTAGTTCGGTAATTATTTATAACTGTTCTGTTGATAAATTATTTCCGTTTGTACATGGTAATTAATATTCTCGTATTTCGAATTATTTGTGAAACAATGTATTCGATGGAAATGGAATAATAATATGAACAAACTTGTTGGTGCTAATTGCTGTCGTTGCTGAACTTAAGTGAATCTCATATTGTTTAGTAAGTCATTAGTACACTTATTCGTTTGTTCTTCTCACTTTCAGAATCTCTCTCACATGCAGATGTATGCACTATTCCCTACCAGCATATAAAGAACCTCTAGGTTTAACATGAGCTGCACATAACACAGTTAATGATGTCTCGTTTCGTTCTCTCTAACAAACTTTTTCTGAGGAATTAAACACGTGTGTACTTACTGACTTAGCTATGGTCGAAATCATAATATTTCAATTAAACCTACCTGAATTCCATAAGCAGAACTTACAATTGCATCATTCTTATCTCCTTCTTGTCTATTCGAGCATACTGTAGATTTTAATGTATTTTCTTCATCTGTATTTATTGTTGTTGTTGTTGTTGTTGTTGTCGTCGTCGCTGTAACTTGACTGCTTCGTCTAGGCGGTGGTGTCGGTACAGTATAACCAAATTCAATTGTTTGCGGGAAATCTAAATTACTTAAATTTGTGTCTGACTTTGTTTCTCCTATAATTTAATTTAATAAATCAAAAGATTGAATTGAATTACCTTTAGCTTGTGAAGTGAACATTGTTTCCGATGAATTATTACTTGCTGTTGTAGAAAATTTCATAGTGGATGTTGATGACCCCGACTTAAGTGAGGCAATTTTATTAGCATGTGGAGATTTTGAACGAGAAAATCTGTCTGACATTCCACCAAGTCTACTCATTGGTGACGAATCCGATCGATCTGTCGGTGGTACTTTATTTTTGCTCAATTCAGAATCATCTAATGTACAGTTTAAACGAACTACTTCAGAACCATCATCTACAGTAACTGTTGTATTGAACATAACAGCACGTGAACCACGGCTACCTATACGAATACGTTGCTTTGGAGAATTTGAATTCGGCAATGGATTGGAAGTAGAACCTTTAAGAATACTTGTTGGCATTGTTATTGATTGAACATTTTCTAATGTACTATCACTATTTTCATCCATCATTGATGTAATTGTGTCTGGATTAAAACCTTTAGATAATGGATACATTTTATTCGATTCATTACTAGTTGATGAATCAATTGTACTTGTAGTGTTTGTTGAACTAATCGAATCATCCGAACAAGCAGCTAATGGAGCGCATATTTCATCTTGATTATCACCTATAACAGAGGATGTAGTTATTATTGTTGATGTTTTAGATTCTTTTTGTGGTACTAGACTTTTGTCTGAATCTATAATTAATGAGATAGTATTTTTATTTAGTGAGGATTTTTGTTCTGCAAGCGCAGTAAACAACATATTAGGAGAAATATTGTCATTGGAGAAGACGCGTCTTTTTTGAACGGCCAGCATTTCTTGTTTCTAAAATACAGAAATAGAACAAATGAGTGCCTAAAAACAATAGGTACTTAGATTCATTTAATAGTTATATTGTTATTAAGGAATAGTCTTATTATATGATTCATAAGGAATGTAACAAGTTATAAATTTGGATGCCGGCCCAAGGAAAAGAATCGCACTGAACGTATGTAAAAGGATAGATGACAAGCTAGTGAAAATTTTCAAAAGCTACTCTCTCTTATCACAAAATTCTATTTGCCTGTTCTCAAACAATACATGCATCTATTCACCTAGCCCTAAATAAAATAGTTGAGTTATACTTTATTAATTGGTGAAAATTATACAGGGACTAAACTGATACAAAAACTTCATAATACAAGAAAAATAATCATCAATAATTGTTGTGAAGATATCTGTCATTTAGTTTTCAAAATAGTAGATTTTTTGTAGATTTCCCCCATTCATTTTTTCTCCACAAAGAACAAGACAAGCGAACGTTTTACTGAAATAATGGTGTTACCAGTTTGGTTTTGACTCGTATCGACTAGATGTTTACTTTAGGTTCGGTTTTAAGAAACCTACACACACACACACAATTTTTATTTGACAAATTTCTCAATATATGTCTACCTATTCCAACCAGATATAATTGGAATAATATCTAACTTAAAAAGAATTGACAAATAAGTCCATTATCTTAAAAAGTGTATGATAAAAAGCTAAAGTTCTTTTAAATATTTACTAAAAATTAAATGTTTGTAAGTTCATTGTTATTTCATTGTACCGAGCTATTTTTTAAATATAAACTAACAGAAGTGAATTCACAAAGATCTTCACACGCGACGTTTTAAGATGATGCTAAGATGAATAAAATATAAGTAAAACAAATAAAAATATTGAAAAGCTTATTTTTAACTTGATTTTAATTTTTCGTAAATCAATGATTGATTAAACGATAACTAAAATGACTTGGTTAAATATTTTGTAATATATATGTATGAAATCAGTCGACTAATTATTATAATTTCGGACAAATATTCAACAGTGATTTAAGATATAGATCAGTACTGTTGTCTTTATCATTTAAATATTTTATCAACAATTAATGTTGTTGCCAAAATATACTTAAAATGAACCAAATGTTAGAAGATTCTGTTGCACCCGACAGCTGTTTAACAACATACAAAAGATATCGCGATGATATGTTCTTTAGTCTTTTTAATCGATTGGACCCGAGTGGCACTAATAACTAAATTATAAGAACACTCGATAACTATGAGTAATCGATTACTGTGAATATCACAGTTTACGACCGGAAGAGCCAGTTTACTGAAAATGTCTATGCTTATCTAATTGAATGATATGAATCCGAATCCTACAGAGTGCAGAAGTCCCCTTGGAGTTGAGGAAACGTCATATTAATGGGTGCCAACTAGCACGAAACTTAGGTCCGAATTTTATAGTCGAACGATACAAATTATACAGTTACTGGTACGCTAGTTTTCTTTTCATCAGCCTTTTAAAAACATACTCGTAATTATCATATCATTTCATCTCATTACCACTAAAAAATGTTTTAAACGATAAACGATCCAAAAACTTTCATCTGAGCAAATTCTAGAAGATAGAAATCAATGAAAACTTACAACAATAAAAGTTCTGTTTATTAACAAAATAATTTAATGAAACCCATGTCATAAATAAGTAAACATGTGATTAGTTTTTCTTTAGAATACTGGTATTATTGTGTTAGCAGTGTTGATGTTAGAAGCAAGATTCAAGTAAAAATTAAGACATTGATCCATGAAGTAGGCGATCTTTATCGGCTGCAGTAGTTAGGCAACTTACGTTACAAATGCCCAGCCAAAGACCATTTTAATGGACGATGTTAGCTGATATAGCAGTAGCTTTGAAAACAACTAAGGGTGACTAAATCAAAATACAGCATTATTTGATAAATTCACTAAATGTTGGACCGAACCGATGTTGGTGTGTATAGATTACCTGGTTTAGGTGTACACGATTATCATAACAATTATTTATGTGACATGGATTATAACCAGTCACAACGGTGTAGAATCATCCAGTCTTTGTGTTCCATTAGACCTCAGGTTTTAAAATTACATTCGATATTTTTGTTCTTCCAATTTATGCTATCTTTTCAAATCATATTGTCTATGCCTAATGTTCTCTACGTTGACTAAATACTATTACTACTCCTACTATACGTGTAATATTTGTTTTGTTAATTTCCATCTCGATGTGTGAATGTGATGTAGTGACCTGAACTGATACGCATATTGTGTGCCAAGTATCATGTTGATTATGTTCGGAAGAAAAAAAATTCTCAATGAAGTAATCTATTTTCATATCTTTCTTTTTATGATATGAAAAAATGAATTTAATTTCAATAAGACTCAAATACAATTGAATAATTGAATGGTCAAAGAATTAAAACAACTCATATTTAAATTAAAAATAATATCTAAAATATGTTTAAATTTCAGTCTTACTCTGATTGCTTGTAGTCGTTTTTCAGAATCTGGCTGAATATTCTGTACAGCAGCATATAATCGACTACGTTCAATACTTCCTCGATCAGCAGCGGCTCGATTAACAAAACCACCAAGATGAGTAAAACGTCTGGGGGAATTTGAACGTTGTCGATTTTGTACATTTACAACTGCAAGGCTTTAAATATGGGTATTCAAAAAATCGAAACATAAAGTATGTTGATAATGAGCTTATTACTATTATTATTATTATTATTATTATTATTATTATTGATTACAAGTCAGAGGTAAGCACATACTACTTATAATTATTTCAGTGTTTTGGCAATCTGTTAAAGATTGCGATTATTTGAATATCACTTCTGATCAATACGCTTAGGGTTATTATTCTACGGGTTTCTGAACACAACTCGAAAAATTTCCTCAGGTTTTTGTCAACACGAAATGGAACGAATTAGTTAGGTATTGTGTGGCCTGTGGAGTATGGAACAACCCGTCCCGTTTGCAAACTCTAACAATTCGTTCGATTAAGTTGAGTAATTGAGAGAGTTGCTAATTTCGGTACCACTACGGAGATACATTCTTATTGTATCCACCTCTGTTAATAACACTGGTAAGCTTGAGGTGTTGCTGGGGGAAATAAATTACGATTAGCTACTGAGAGTAAACAAACAGCTTACTATTTAAGTAAGTAATTTCTTTCATATTATTGAATACTACGCTAAACTTACAGGGTATAGACTACTTGTAATTGTGTTGTATAGAGTATTATCAAGTCTATAATCTAGTTGGCTTTTTCTGCTCTAGAATTGTCTGGTGTAGCCTATTTATCAGGTTTTCAGTCTAGTGGTAGTATAATCCCCGTTCTCGGTAATATATCGTATTAAAATAGCAAAAAGCATAACATATTTAAGTTTCGGTACCTTCAATATTCATCTAAATCAGTGTGTTGCACTATTTTTTATCGTTCTCAAATCATCGCTAATTAGCTATGATCCATTTATCCTTGTTTTATATCGTCTATAACCCAGTTTATGTAAATATTGTGATTTTTTATGTGCTCTATTCTGATTGTTATTTATGTAACTGTCGCGGCTTCCAAAATAACATTGTTGAAAATGCATAATCAGGAAAGAAACAACTAACCATCTCTAAATGAACTACCTGAGTGAAATAATCCCTTTTCCACTGAAATTTATGATAAGCTCATTTTCAGTTTAAAACAAAAATCTAAGCCGATAATAATTTTTGTAATGTTGAACACCTAGTATTTACAAGAATAATTAGCAGAATTTATCTATACTTCTCTTGGAAACTTGAATCCACTATCTAGTATTCAGAAAAATCAGCTTGTAAATGAAGACCATATTAAAGTGTTCATTTATTGGTTCGATGACTTCATATGTCCACAGAAGTTTATCATTTTGGTGTTAAATGTCAACATCAGAAAAGTACACAAATGTTTACAGAGAATTCTAAAGAAATATCTTGGGTATTTTTATACATATTGATCTTAAATAATTGCATGTAGTTATTGTTAAATCATCATAATTAATATTAAAATAAACAAAAATTTTCTTATTTATGAAACGATTGAATTCAATGTATTATATGAAAGTATTTAAACAAAGTTTTACACGATCTGTAACATTTTACTATTTAAATAAATTATTACTATACCATTATGATTTACTAGGATGACCCTCATGTAATAAAATAAATATCACACTAAATTTCGCTCCTGTAATGGGTAAAAAATATTCTGATCCACTACTTACAATTGTTAAAATGTACTCAATTTTTTAGCATGTTCGTACTTTTCCAATCTGGATACTGGACAGTGAAAATGAGCAGTCTTGGTTATCATTCTATACAACTCCAAGCAGATTGTTCGAATATAGTGTTGTAGCTAATTTCGGTATATTAGATATGAGGGTAGTAGTGAATTCAGAATTAACGTCCTTGTTGTTTAAGACTCACACAGATGGATACACCTCTAACCCTTCTGAATATCTTCAGGTTTATTGAGTATGCTAATAGCTATCTGAAATGGATAGCTCAGTGAACGACGCATTGATTTTTTTTAAAGAGCAACGTAATACATTTAAGTTTAGTTTTAAACATCACTACTAGGATGAGGGTACACTCATGTGATGAGTCTCAGACGTGACAAAATGTAGGTCCCAGTTTACACTGTTATTCATATACCGAATATATTAATACACGTCTTTTGTATAAAACTACTTTTGATTATTAAACTTACTCTAACCGTAGGAATTTAGGAATTTATCAGTACCGAAGTTTATATAAACACTTGCAAATTCCTTCCAATCTACTTGTATAACAATTTTATTCAATTGCCTCAGAGAAAAACATTCTCTTCTCATATAAATACAGTATCATTTCATCGATTTAATCAACCTTCATTTAAATTATATGTTATCATGAAATGAAATAAAATTTTCATACACTTTTAAAATCCATTTTTTCGCATTTCTCATGAGATTCTCAGTCTGTAGGCGAAAAGTAATTTCTATCAGTTTGAAATTTTGTGACCATCTTTTTAAAAAAACATCGTGGTTTCATCAAAATATTACTGATATAGAAATTGTCCGATTATACGTTTAAATTTCTATAACTACTGTCGAAAATTAGTGAACAGTGAACAACAATTTATTCCAAATTAAAAAATTACACCCATTAAATATTGAAAGTCTCAGTGGTACTATGATATTAATATTATGATTGGATTGGTCTTGTGCAGAATAGCTTAGTTTATAGGTTGTATTTGTCATATGGAATGAAAGTTTGATGACATTCAATATTCAGGGTGGGATATGTAGGAGTGTACTGAAACAAAAGCTTTTGAAAAATGCAGATAGAATTCGTGCCCATAAATTTGTAACTTATATGTTTTCCAATCCTCAATATATGTTAAGGGTCAAGTATTGACGGCTACTTTTCTATTCATTTAGCGGATGACAGCTGCTTATAAGATAACAGTTTTCACTGAGGAATCGATTTCAAGCTCTTTCACGTTTTTGCGTTTTTCATCTGACAAGTTGGGATGCGCTACAATTGCGTGTTCAGAGAAGATATTCGCAGGTAACTTCTGATAATCGAAGAAAACTCAGTGAAAATTATACTCATATACGCGTCCCTCATCTACTAAATGAAAGAAAAGTTCTCAAAAATGCTAGATACTGATCTTTTGTTGACAGTGAGAAAAAGGATGATTAACCTTACACAAAATGTGTCTAATAGAGGAAACCAAATAGAGAAAACGGTGAGGTATTAATCATAGTGATGGTAATAATACTAGTACTCATAATAATATGTTTTCTACTTTTCGAACATAAGAAATATAAATGAAAGACGTCTACTCACTGAACGTGATTGATATTAAGTATCTTAACGCCAAAGTTTATATTCACGATGGAAGTGAGTAATGACTGATGAGTTAGTGTTAACAGAGAGATCTGTTATCTCTGATTATCTATATGGTTATATATATACCCCTTTCATACTTTATAATGACATACTCTAGGCCTAATGTTTATAGAACAATTGAGTACAAGCGCGTCATGTGATCAACCAACTCCTAGGTCACTACACATTCTATAAACCATTATGTCAGTTTTAAAGAATTTTTAATTTAACATAAATTTTCACAACACTTGGAGAGGATGCTAACATATAGATCTGTAAAATTTATTCATTTTAATCAAAATTAATGAAACAAAATATAGAATTATTTTTATTACCGTTTTAACGTAAGTATTGTGCCTTTAATACGTTTACATTTTTCATTGACATCTTTCAATTGATATAAATGATCATCAAGTACTCTACAAACACGACAATTATAGTTAAAAAGAAGAAAAAATGATCTAAATTATGATAAACAATTCTACAGACTCAAAATAAATGAATATAATTGGTTGAGAATAATCAACACAATGAGTATTATGCATATTTTTAAAGATTTTAACACAAATGAATCACTAAAAATATCCTTGCTATTGTTATTCAAGGCTGTAGTAATTGATCAGTCACTGTTACCATAAGTTTATCTTAAGCAAAATGCCTTAGTATAGCGTTATGTTACTCGTTTTAATATATTTAATATGTCAATAACAATGGTATTTAGAAATCGTGTTTCGACCTATTAATTACTCGTAAATTGTACCTGTACCCCGGTGTTAAAGTTTACAGTATGAATCTAGTCCAGTGTTTTTCACTTCAAACACCAGCTATTAAGTTCTGATAATTAATAACTTGTTCATTGGATAGAAAGAATTATGAAGTTTAGATTTTCTGTTTTTCACTCAATCCATCTCTGAAGACATATATCTACTATTATGAATTCCGATAATATTAAGCAAAATTGGGCTTTACTTAGCCTGAATAAAAGAAAAAGTAACTTAGTTTGATACGCAGTACTACATCATTGTAGATTCCACTGATATTGTGAAGGACCTTGAGATGTTATCCAATAATCAACAATAAAAAATTCCAAAAAGAATGGTTCATTGTCTTGTTCATGCTATGAACACTTTTAAATTTAGGTGATTGATAGGATCAAAGTTTATTTTATCATCCCTCTAGAAGTTATTATTGATATGACCATAAAACGAATTTTTCATAAGGTACTAATAAGAAGAAACCAGATTCCAGATGAACGAATCAGGAAAAAGCGCTGGAGGTAGATAGAACATATATTGAGGATAGCACCTAACTGCGTCACAAGGCAGGCCCTCACTTGAAATCCTCAAAGTCAAAGGAGAAGAGGAAGACTAAAAAACACTTTTAGCCGGGAATCGGAAGCAGACATGAAAAGAACGAAAAGCAGTTGGATAGAGGTGAAAAGGAAGGCCCAGGAGAGAACAGGTTGGAGAATGCTCGTCGGCGAATTATGCTACATTGGGAGTAACATGCGTTGGTAATTAAGTTAATAAGTAAGTACAATTTTAGGTCCTCGTTGAATAACGCGATAAACGGACCGCATAAATGAGCTGTAACCCCTTAGACAATCAGACCGATCGATACCAGTTGAAATTCCATGGTTTGGGTCAGTTTTCTGAAGGCTGAAAGTAAACCTTGCTTACAAGTATCAAATAGCACTAAACTTAGATCAGGTAGGGTTAAATATAGTTCCAGCCATCTCGAATCATTCAGATTAGTGATCTTATTGCAATTTGATCATTCACTTGTAAATGAACAATGATATTTACCTTTTTTGAATTTCAACAGCTTTTGCTTCCGCTTCTTTATGATTATTCAATATTTGTTGAATTTCTGGATAATGACCTATTGTATCATGAATTAAATGTAAACATAATTATTATTAATAACGGCTTAGCTTTACTGCCTTAAAAAATTAAATTATACTTTATTGTAACATTGGATTTAATTGTATTTTGAATAATATTTCATTGATCAATCATATATATATATAAATTTAAATAGGTAACCAATTGATGCACTTGCAAGCTATGCGATCTAAACAGTTGGTGAAAAATGTTGACAATCAAATCAATTGGTCTCCAACTACTCTCTCCAGATGCTTGAAATTTGGTTTGTGAAACTGCTTACAGTCACTTAACTCCTAGAAAGGTTGCTAAGGCAATAAATAACATGAAACGAGAGAAAACATTGAAACCTGACTAACTCCATAAGATCTTCAAAAATGACGATATTACATTATTGTAGAAATTAATTGAGATATTAAATACAATATGGGTTAAAACACTATCGCTTCTGATTGATTTTTATCTCAAACCATTTCAATATACAAAAACCGTTGTAATAATAACAGAGTAATCAGTTAATTTAATAATATACTCTGAAACTCAGCTTCCATAATCATTGAATAATTAATGTAATGATATCATCAGCATATATGTATAATTTTGAACAGACTGGTAAGCTTTGATCCTCTATCACTCAACATCACATTGGAAAAAGTCACCACTACGTTGCTAGAACATAGAACATTCTGGCATTCAGTAAATCACTTCCAGATATATGAAATGAATATGCAATCAAATGTTCACATAAAACTCATATCAACTCAATTTACTTACTACATGCCAAACTAACGGTTGAATTAATTGCATCCAATCTATTCTCTAGTGTTTGCACATATGGTAATGTGATTCGACAACGATGTTGTAATACATCATTACCAGTTTGTTCAATAACACATTCAAGATCATGTAATTGTTCACTTAGAAGTGTATTAATTTTATGCATTTCTTGCAATGATCGGTCTAAATTTCTTCGTTCATTTTGAATAATTTCTAATTTTGGATCAAGAATTGTATGATTTGTTGATATGTGTTGATTGGATAACTTCTGAGGATAAAATAATTTGGAAAGTGAATAAAAGTTGGAAAAATACTGTTTATTCGAATCAAAAAACAAATAAAAGAAGACTGAATTTGATTTGAATTATCACAAAGAGAATAAAAAGCACAGAGACGAATTTTCGAAAAGTATTGATGACGTATTTAAATGAACGAATATTTAACTATCCTCATCAACCTGCTATTCTTGCATCGATTCGATACAAGGTAAGAAGAGTTTATTAGCTTCATAGCTTCTTGGAAATTACGACAAAAATTTCATGATAAGACTGAACAACATCATATAGATTAAGTTTGGTACTCGAGAGTTTAGTGTATAGCACAAAAGTTTCATTTACGAACTTCAAGATAATCACAGCATATTATCGTGGTAGCAATAAAGTACTTCATTTGATAGAGTTGTTTGAATATTCTCGTTGGTCTTAAGAACTACAAATGATAAGCCTCTTTGAATCGATGCATCCATTGCATATTGCCTTGATAGTTCACGAGCATATTAAGCACAGTTGGATGGCTGATATCGATGGATCCTATTTAGAACTCTTCAACTAGATTTACGTTACACTGATGTTCTGGCCGGGAATCGAACTTAGTACCTTTCGCGTTATCCACTTCACCAATAAATCCAGATAAAAAATGTTGTTAAAAGTTTAACGTTTTGCTTACAGATCGATCAAACATTCAGTAGTTAAATTCAACTGAATTTAAAGATAGGATTCGAATAAACATCTTCAGATGCATGTCCGTATGTATTTCTGCTCAACTTTCAGGCAATAAAAAGTATTTAAGATTGAAAAATAATCATAGAATTGTATCTATACGGTTTGTCATCAGCATATAAGAAATAAATATGTCATTGTGCCAAGCTTAGAACCAAAACCCAGGAGGATGTAGCGATTCTTGAGTCAGTTTCTAGAATACTGAAACTATAATTATCAGCAAACCAGTTGACAAGTTCGAAAACCCTTACCGAAATGGTTTGGTTAGTGCGAGATATCATTGTAAACTAACCATAAACCCGCTAACCATATCTTTTTACTTTAAATTTGCTAGTCAGGTACATATTGTAATTTTTATTACTGGTAAGTTGGAATTCTGTCATTCACGTGCATAAATCTCATGAGTTTTCCTGAATCAGACACATAGAGTCTAAATCTTGGGATTTTAGTTGAGGCTTGCAGAGAGAGTTTGTGTGTAAGCCAATCAGAGTCTAAATCTTACGTCTCTTATAAGTTCAAGTACATATCGGCGACATATTGGTTCAAAATATTCATTTACTAAGTGATTTACCTAAAACGGTTCATTATTCAATTATGTTCAACCAGAATATTACTTACTAATAACACACAAAAATCATCCACATTATTCACTTTCAACAATCAACAGTAATAATAAAACTTACTGTAACCAATTTGTTACAATTATTTAAATTCAATGTTAATTTTCTGTTGAATTCATTGAATATTTGATAAAAGGATTTTACTGATTTACGCATCTCTTCAATTTGGTGAAGTTTCGTCTTTAATAAGGCTTGTTTTTTATTATCTGTTCATAGTTTGATTTAACCATACAAGAAAAAAAAAGAAATTGGTAACAAAAAATACTTTTGATAGATAGTAGTGCAGTGACCAATATATGATTTAAAGATTCATATATCAATAGATAAACAAACTTGCCTTTAAATGATTTCCAAATTAGCCATTACAATGAACAAAGACTTTTGAAAAAATAGTTAGTTCATGCCTAATTGAACTTCTGTGATAAGTGAATGAACAGACATTTAGATGTTAAGAATTCAAGCTATGCATTAAGTTAATTTAAAATGAGTCATATTGTGCCAAAAGCATCACAAATGAAAAAACGGTGACATCGAAATGAATTTGAAGAACATTAGACAGATACAGATCATATAAATGGATGCACAGAAATAAATAGTCGAAAAAAGTGGCAATATAATGAGAATATACAAGTGAGTTAATGTGATGGATATATTGATCTATATGTACCATAAAGTACTGAAGGTATTAAAAACTGATTTCGAATACTAATAAACTAAAGACGTTTAACGTAAGATAACTACGAAACCTGATGATAGCTGCTACATTGACATGGTGCTTTGGGTTTTATGATGGCAGGAACCTAAAACTAGTTCCTTTTGGTTTTAAGATGACCAGCAGGTTGGTTGGAAAATGTCAGAGCTAAAAGCGGTACACTCTTGATCTGAAATTGACTTCATACTGTCAAGTGTACTAAGTTCACCTCGTGAAAACCAGTATCGACACACACACACACACACACTTCGTCCTGTACTCTTCAACATTCATAAACATGGTTCATTTTCAGTCACATATAAACTTATATTTTATTCACAGATTTAGAATTTACTTCATTCCCCATTAAAGTTAAACCCATCATTGCTGTTGTCTTAAACAAACATCAGTTCAAAATCACAATTTAATTCAATCAAACAAAGAGTTTCGACTGAAATGTAAACAACTCTGTGATAATATTTCTCTTTGTGATAAAACAGTGGTAAGCGACTAAAAAAAATCTAAAACCCAAGTCCTAGATGCTATCACTGATTACTCCCAACTAATCAGCATCAGAAAACGATACCATTTTGTATTTTATAGGGCATTCAAGTTTATTTGAAAACATTTATTAAACTAATTGTTTTTTGGTAATCATTCACATTGAGATTAAAAATGTCTCTAATCATGGCTAGTTATCGACAATCTAGTCCAGTAGTATTATGCATCAAAATTACTTACAAATATGTATTTCATGAATATCAGTGTACCAAATTGTATGGCATTGTATTGAACACCTGTAGAGTTACATTTTCATTTATTGCATATTCGCAAAAAACACCAATAACGATTTTTTTAAAATTCAATCACGTTCAACATGTCACATGAAGTGAAAAAAATATCACCAGTGATAGTTCATTTACGACTGATTAACAGAAGTCATACTTCAAAAATTAGCTCTACCAATGTGAAAGATTTTACAACTCTAGTTCATTTTAATTATTAATATGTTATCACAAGTTGATATCTTAAATAAAAATGACTAGCCAATCTAATTCAAGAAATTCAATTCGTCTTTAAAACTAATAGATAACAACCACGATTTTTTTAAATCATGATATTGTTAAGCTTTGATTTGATTTTGATTAATCCTTAAGTTTGCTTCATTAGCATGAAGGCTTCATTAAAATCTCATCTAGAGATTTATTAGTTGTTAACAATTGAAAAAAACTAGTATTCCCCGTTTGGAATTCTAACTCGCATTAACGAAACTACGAAACTCCGGATTCGAGTGCACTAGGAACTATTAATTTTCTCATGTTTACATGTAGGATGCTTTACTGCAAAGTTCGAACCAGTAAAAAGCTTACCTCAGAAGTTTTCTATCAAACAACCCCAAAATCACTATTAAAATGTGGTGTTAAGTGGCTACTATATTTAGTTTAGATGAGACATTCATCTTAGAATTTTAGTTCTCTTTGATTAATTATCCTACAGCTAGAGTTCAAACACAGGTTAAAACCGAATTATCAATTTTAAGGACGTTTATATCACTAGCAGATCAAAGTAGTTTGATAAACAAATCTTAATAACAGTTATTTTAAAAAAAAACATCAATAACATAAATGAATTCATATGTTAATAATTCCAATGAATAGAAAAGACATTGTCAAAAATCGTTTATTTTTAATGCAGAATAAAGTTTTATGATGATAACCGACTAAATTGTTGAAGGAAATAAAATTAAAAAGTAGTAAAATTTATTGCACTGTTTCGTTTAGATCTATACAAAGAAGTGAACTAAAATTGTGGAAACTGATCTCATTATTGTTGTCAATGTTAAATCATCAATAATGCGATCAAATAACTGACTTTTTTTTTTCTAAATTTTGTGAAGAGTTTAATTTTTAAGTTGTAACCTTTTTGAACTAGTTTCAGCCGAGTTTGTAGATTCGTGTCACGGAGCAGCTTCATGTAGGAGGGACAAAAGAGATATCGAGTATTTACCAAGATTTGACAGATTGTCTAATTAGATTTCAACTTGTATTTTAAACTATAAAATTAAACAACTTTATCTAGCCTTTCATGCTGATAGTGATGAAAAAAGAAGCTATAAAACACTCATTAAATATGACGAATTATTACTACCATTCACACAACAATTCATTAGTTATGATATTTTAAGTCATTAGATTACACTTACCACTGTAAATACCTTTTGTATGATCCACAGTCATAGTTTTGGAATATTCTTGTATGTGTTTAAACATTCTGTTAAGTAGCTTAGTAATCACCAAATAAAATACATGTATGAAAAGTAACCTGTTGTTTTCTATGGTCCGATTAGCTAACGACACAAACTTTTGACGACATACTAGACACAGCATCAAAAATGAGAAGACTGAAATGACCAAGAAGGAGAAGCAGACTGAGGAGACCTTGAGTAACTGCCTGGCCAAATTCCTCTAATATAATATTTCACTTCTAACTTCATCTAATCCTGCGATAGTATGTCTGTAAAAGCCAAAAATGGTTTATGCTCATCCAAACAATTATAAATTTATCAAACACACCCGCATATAACGCAATTATCTAAGATAAATTTGTGAATTCAATAAAAGTTCGTCTGCCACTTTTTCAGTTGTCTTCAAAACATAAACAGTTCGAAGTTTCATTCCATTTTGTAAAATTTAAATGTTTAATAAGGAAATAAGAAAATAATTGGAATAACTTACGTAGATCTATTGAATTCAAAGATACTTTGGAATGAGTCACTGGCATATCAATACGTTCAAATGCTTCTCTAAAAGCATCCGCTTGTACACCAGAACTTTTTAATGCTTGAAATAAAGTGACCAAGTAATTTACATGAGCTTCTTTTTCAGTTATTTCATCGAATAGTTGGTGATTAGTTGTGTTAATGTTAATAATATTATTATTACTATGATTACTGTTAACAGTTTGTGGTTGTAAATTTCTTTTCAATGTATCTGTTATTATTGTGTTTGATATGGCAGATGTAGTACAATTAGTCAGATGACATAGGTGAATATGTTTTTTTTGATTGTTTAATTCATCTTCTGAAGATTTTTCTGTACAACTTCTAAAATATATACATTCAGATTAGTGTAAAACAAAATGAAATGTATAAGTTATAATCGTGCAAACATTGAGGAACATTTGTACATTAATTAATAGCTTAACTATTTTTGAGTTTCTTGGAATTGTTGATCTAACAATTAATTATGCTGCTATATATTAAAAAGTAATGATGTATAAATATCAATTATCAGAAAAAAATTTAGTTTTAGATATTATTGAAACCATGAGTCGATCAATCTTAAAACACCATTGGAAACACTAAATGGCCATTTCATCCTAGTTTAGGACTAATCAGCAGTACAAATCCACATCTCTTGCTCATGGGAATCGAACCCAGGACATTCAGTCTTGCGCTGGAATACTTAACCTCTAGCCCACTGAGCTGACATCCAAGGGATGTAAATCTCTAACTTCGAATAATCCACGGCCCTACACAACCTCATTCACTGCCTTTGGTGAGCACCGCCTCACACCCGACAGGGTTGAACTCCACTGATCACAACTTCTCACTAGTACTCGCAGAAATGTCCTCACGGAATTAGTCACTAGTGAGCACACAGGATTGCGGAAATTTTTGAATTTCATTAAAATCATGAAGTAACAAATAAATATTAGTTAAGTAGCAGTATAGTGAAAGCAGTATGAAGCAATGAATGAAGTTATTAATGACAAAAATTATTTAAAGTACAGCCAAGAAGATAGTTTATTTTATATCCCTAACTGTTAATGGATTTTACATTTTAAGTCTTCTACAAACTAATATGCCTGCAAATTGATAAAAAAGACGATGAAATCTAAATCCGTTCTTATGTATATCTATTATTTGTCTTCTCAGAACTTTAAAAGGACCGGAAAAGATGTTTAAGAGTCCCAACATTGTTCCTAATTAGGGTTAAGTATTTAAGGTAAAGATTAAGCGTTCAGGTTATAATACAGAAATGCTCTGTAGCCACGTTTGGATGAAAGAATTCAACGTCTTTTATATACTATCTACTGAGATAGAATTGAAAATGCTGTACGTTTAACGCAATCAGTTTTAATCTATGATGGCGAATATTAATAAATATTTACTTTGAGAAGTACATAAAAATATTCCTACTTAGCGCAACTCTTGAAAAGAGACTGTGTTCTTGATTCTGATTTAGTCATTTTTATTAATTTACCCTAAGCTTTACATAAAAAGTAGTCTTATTTTAAACAGCTAGTCCCTCTAATAATAGTGCTGCCATTTATACTTGTCTTTTCTTATCAGCCAGTCACAGCTCATTTTCATAGACACATTCATTATCAAAGAGCAGTAATACTGCTCTGATTTAAACCAAGCGGCAATTATATTTTCTTTAGGCTTACTATACATATAGATATCCTTTACATTTTGCTACACCTTTGTAATTTATTTGTTATGGACAATCACTACTTTCGTTATACAGTGAATGATCACTTAATTTATTCATAGAATTTTATTTTTATTTTTAAGCTTGTCAAAAAGTTTTCGGATTGAATTTTATCATAAAACATTATTGTTACATACATCTCCATTACGAGATAATCAACGATCACGTTATAAGGCCTGTAGCATTTGTTGAAATGAAACAAAACAATAATTCAATATGTTACCCATAAAACTGAATATATCTAAATTTCCATTTCACCTTTCTCTTTGTTTATGATTCACTTTCTGTATAAGTCTTTTGTCCAACATAGACAGGAGTGGAGTTGCAAAAAAGATAATCTTTTTTTCATTGCATAAAAAGATCATTTTGTATAAAAATGTCTAATATTGACCGACTAATGATTTCAAAAAGTAACTCAACAATCTCCACAACCCTATCCAGCCAAATTAATTATTCTGATTTATTATTTTACAAGCTAACATACATACAGCAACATAACAGAAAAATGTTATGTTATTTAACTATTGATTATCTCTACATTCATGTTCATTTTATGATTTAGTATGACATATAAACGTATACACAGGAGATTTTTTTAAAACATTTTCTATAGAAAAATGCAAAGGATTTTAAAAAATAGTCAATCATAAAAGTCACAACAGCAAAACATATGGGACGGTTTTTATACTAACCACTGATGTGGGAATGTGTAAAACACCCATCGATAAATCTGCAAACGTTTCTTACACTTTTAAAGAAACATAATAATTAAGAAATAGGATGTATTGCTCAATAATTCAGTTTAATAATAACAACCAATGAAGGTAGGAAATGAGAAGGCAAAATGATGACAGAGTGATAGACTAAAACATAAACATACACGCTCTACACTGATTTACTGATATTTTATTTAGCTAGTGATAATCGATTACATTCTCGGTCAAATGCCAACAGTGTGTCTAAAAGTGTTTGTGATGACTGGATTAACGAAAGTACAGAAGTCTGAAAATAACCAGCAGGTATTTTTTTCCAAGAGTAAAAGGGAGATAATGCGATAGTCAGTTTATATAGGTATATATGTTATGAGGGCATAAATTACTCAGAACATTAAACGAAATATATGCACCGAAAATCAAAGAAAATTAGTCCAGTCAAATTAACAAAGATATGGAATTTTCATTCAGTCACAAATACCTACCTTGTTAACCCATTTTCTTTGACAGCTGTTACATTTGGTGAGTTACGTGTCATAATACCTGGTATTAATTCTGATACTTCAAATATTGAACTATTAGTATGACTACTGTTGTTATTAGACATGGTTGAAGTAGTATTAATAGTAGTTGTTACAATCGTACTGGTTTTATTCAGTTGTGATATACCAGTCAATAACATTGTTGATGGTTGATTTTGTTGACGTTTCAGTCTTTGTTGTTCAAATATAGCTATATTTATGTATGTGTTCATGTTGAAATGAAGAAAGAAAATCAAGTAAAAATTAGATTGAATTTTTCGTAAAAACATGAACTAATAAATATGTATTATCATTATTATTATTATTATTATTAGTAATAATAATAATTAGAAGAACAATACATTAGTGTTGCTGTCGTTAATTTGCTTCAGTACAACCAATATTTGCAAACCAGATACAATGTTGATTGTTGTATTTATCAAAAAGTGATTTCAGTCGGGATACGACTGAAGACTGGGGAATGATGGACAGTTTTTTCTCCTGAAATTCATAACCAGGACCTTTAGATTTCACAACAAACGCTTAACTATTTGGACTACTGGGTCTGCATCAAATGGTACTATAACAACCTAAATACTTTTTTCCGATATAGTGAGATGATTAATCAATGCTGTTATAGACTAATATTTCACTGCTGATGTCGCTGAACATCGCTGTCTATGACTGTTTATTAGAATTTCAGAAATACCTTAAAGTGAATCACAGGTGAGTCAACTATTATAATCTTAGTTAAAAAGGTTTTATGGAGATTGATTTTACAAATGAAATCAATATTAACAAATTTCCTTTACATATGATATAATACTGACTTCAATCTAAGTCATTAATCCTGATGTAACAATGCAACTACGTACAGAAGAATTTAAAAACTCGATTAAAAGTTTCTTGTCATAGTTGGAACAAAAAGTTCATCTACTAAAAATAAAACGAGTTTGGTGCATAGCAGTTTGCTTTTTACTAATTTGTGGTTGTGAAAAGTTAACTTTAAAATAGAGGGTATTCATAGGTTACTAGTATTTGACCATATATATCTTCTAAGTATTGCTCGCAAATGCTGAGACCATCAAGTGAACAATGCTATTGAACTATGTATTGATAAAGTTATGAATCATTGTCAACTTAGCTGACTGAGATATGCATGACAAAAGCCCAACTACCACATTCTCATTCTCTATGTGATGATTGCTAGTGTCGAAGTAATTTGAAGTAAAAATGAGGGAGATGATACTGAAATGTGGTATCAGTTCATCAGATATTAGAACTAAGTCAAGTTGGTAGGCTGAGACTATCTGGTTGTGATCTACACGGTTACTGTAACCAATGATCAGAGGTGCAGTGCGACAACTAGAATCAGTTACAGTATTTACCATTGGATAATGGGTTTAGTGTCCGAAAAGAAAGGCCTCAATGTGAACATCAATGATGAAATTTAGATGTATCCATCTTATGAGTCCTAAGTGGGACAGAACATACTTCCTGAATTCCAGTGCTATTCACTAACCAAATTTACTTAAAAGTTACTGATTTTTTGTTTCATATTTGTTCTTTTTATGAATATCTTTTGGAGATTTCCATAGACATGGGTGAAACTTCTACCGCAGTTCAATTTCATCGAGTTTTTCTTCCCTTCAAACAACACTAATACATTTGTTTGCTAGAGATGTTGAGCTACTAATATTCATTGCTAAATATAAATTAACTGGTTGAAAAGTAGGAAGGATCATTTTTTTAAAATAGATAACTGTAAAGTGAGGTATACTCACAGTCGATAATCTCTTAACCTCTTGATATTCACAATCTTAATAATAAATATAGGCTACGAGTATTCCAGTCAAATAAAATAGATTGGTAGTATTGCTCTTATTTAATTTATCCGATTATCCTATCTACTTGGGTAATAATCAATGCTTATCCGTTTTTCTCTCTGCTCTCTTCAGTTTGACTTTGGAATAATTCAAGTGAATATTTCGGTGAATGACACAAATCTTGGCTCAGCAGCATAAAAGCGTTTTTATTTATTTTTAAAATATTGAATAGTGGCTTTATTCATTCTAAATAGGATCAATTTTTAAATCCATTATTAAACTAGTTGCACTCTGACTAGTTATTTAAAAATTTTTACATTGTTTATATTTTAAATAATAATAATAAGTGATAAGCATTCTATAGAAAGTATGCTGTAATTAATTTTATTCTCTTTTTTTATACCTTGATGAACTTCAGGTGGACAAGTACAAATTAATCCTGATCCTTGCACATGTTCAACACGTGTATGACGTGGTAATGTATTTGAATCTATATGTGAACCAGCAAGTGAAACAGTAACAGGTATTCCAGGATTAATTACACTTATTTGTTGTATATTATGCTTAGTTAAAGTACCTGATGTCATCATCATATTACGTAATAATGTATGATCATTTTGTATTTGTTGATGCTGTTGTTGTTGTTGTTGTTGTTGTTGGTGATGATGGTGATGGTGCTGATGATGATGATGTAACCCAGTGTTGGTTGTACTTGGTGATAAACTACCTGTTGAACATTGTTGATATTGTGAAGGATATTGAACAAGCATTAAACCAGCTGGTGTTTGAATGATTTGTGGTCTCGATGATAGATTTGAATCAACGTGAATAGTTTGATGATTTAATTTAAGCTGACGTAATAAATCATTAGTTGGTAAAGCATAATAAATTGTATAAGGTTGTTGTGATTGATTAACATTAGTGTTAGTAGTAGTAGTAGTAGTAGTAGTAGCATGAGTAGTAGTAGTAGTAGTAGTAGCAGTATTAGTATTAATGGTGGTAGTATTAGTAGCATTAAATGAATCTTCATTTTGTATAATGGTTGATGAATTCAACTTTGATGAATTTAATGTTGCATGATTAGCAGGAATAGATGTATAAATAATTCCACTAGTAGAAAGTCCACTTGTTAACGTACCTATGGCAACATTAATTGTTGAAGGCATTTGTGTTGTATGAACAATATTTGTTGTTGGTGTTGTTGTTGCGGTAGAAAGTGTTTGTGGTGATTCCATTGTTTGAACTTTACCTGAAAAGTTGTTTTGTAAGATCAAAATAATAATAATAATAATGATAATAATGGTCAAACGTTAAGCAGAGGATATGTAGATTCATGAAAGATTAACAATTATCACAGGAAAAAACACTTTCAAACTTTGAACTTAATTAAATCATAGGGTAAATCGAGTTTAGAAAAAAAAGAGATGAGGTTATCAAACCGACAGAACTATGAACCTATAATGATGATGTTACAAACTGTCATTTTCTACCCAAGATTATTATCAAGATAAATCAGTATTATTTTAATTAGCATTAGGTTTGTAAAATCGGTTATAGTAATCTAGTGAATATATGAAGTTGGTCGTAAAATGTGTTATCTGGTGACTCAAATAGAAATGTGCATGCTTTTTTGTTGTATTTAAATGATTGTTACTTATCACTATAACTATCATGATTAATAATATGTTGCTATAAGAAACGCAACACTGTGACTGGCTTTGACCTTAATAAGGTCGTTCTTTTAGTTAACTATTATTCAATATGAACTTCACTCTTCGTAAAAGTATAATTGTTCCTCTTGATAATTTAACAGTTCTTACGTTCCATCACTGTAAAGTATACGTGTTCTACTGTCAGTTTTTGAGCGTTTGTATTGAATTGATATTTTAGATAAGTCATGATAATTTATAAATCTGAAACAAATGAGTTATTAAAGACTAAGTTTTGCTTGTTTTGACCAACCGAATTCTTTGTTTGATAGTATTATGGTAATGTACTAGGAAGAAACAAGTATTTAAAATATAAATTATACAAAGGGATGATTAGTCTTAACTTCATTTGAATATTGAGCATACCGTCAAATATATATATTAGTTTGAAAAGTTATCAGACAGTTAATTGTTTAGTCGCCTTTTCTATATCATCACCAAAATTCGTCCAAGATTGCTAGAATGAATTAAACTTTGAATTATATGTGTCACAGATTGATCTCAGTTGGTAAATAACTGAAAACCAGCAGCATTGAACAACCGTTTCATCCGGGTATGAGACTCCTCAGAAGTGCGTACCCTTCTGAAAATTAAATCTAGCACTTTTGAACCTCAAGACGAATAGCGAATAATACGAATTCCTTTCATTTCGCTAGGCTTTCATCAGCTGCTCATAATATATTATATTTTAAAGCCAAAATTATCACAGAAATTGATGTAGTTGAAGTAACGTTGCGCTTAGTCTTCTTTAGCCTACTAATATTCAAGAGAAGTCTAAATAAAGATCTCTGACGTCTGATCACTTCCATTCACATTTATTAACTTAACTTCTACTAAAAAGTTAGGTATCTAGATCGTTCAAGAGGATTTTAGAACGTATTCTTAGTTGATTAAAAAAAACAGAATAAATAACAAGTTACATCCGATCAAATCAGATTCAGCGTTTAAAATTATCTGCCAGGTAAACACCAATCCACCAAAGACAATTTGTTTCCGTCTTGTTATTATACTCAAAGTCTTTAACAGATATTTGGAACAACTAGAAACTTAATACAAATCTCATTCTACCATGATTTTAACATCTAGCTTTTCAGTAAATTACGTTTCCATGTTTCCTCTTCTGACTTTCCTTAACGTTCTTTCCGATTATATTTCATCTCAACTTCAATATTTCATCAGCATCAAGGGTATGTAGAGATTTCTCAACTTTAAAGTATCAATCATGAACTGATCTCAGTTAAACAACTATTGAAAACAAGAAAGAATTGAAAAATTGGCAGCCAAATCCAGAATCTTTCGGGTTCAAAGTCAAACCTTTGACATTCAGGCTATTGACTCGATATTCAATGATCTATAAGTCTAACTGAGCGTCTCATCTTCGAACTCCGATGGAGACGTGGATGGCCATTGCCAAAATGTCTCATACCATAATGAAACAACTTTTTCCTGCTTTTCAATGGTTGTCTCACTAATATCAACCTGTAATGTAATTTATAGTCTTCAGAAATGTTTCCTCCGTGTTCTAAATGATGCTAAGTTGTACTTTGATCATCATAATATTTCACCACTAATCGTACATTTTCTTCCTACAAAAAATAAATGTAGCAAATGATAAATTCTTAAACGTTCGAAATTTTTTCGAATCTTTCCGCATTTTTTAGAGGCATATCAACAAATATCAGCAAATAATAACAAATACCATTTTAATTGGAAAACTTTGGGTGTATACAACGCAGCATGTCTCGTATGATCTACGAAACAACTAATCTACCACGTGGTTTTTTCGTTATTCAATCTATGATATTATTGCTACCATCACTTATGTAATAATCTTGTGAGGCATGAATTTATTGCGAATATAACACGACGATGATAATGAAGGAATAAAAATGAACTGATAATGGCTGTTGAGTTTTCAAAATTATCTAAGGAGCATTGAACACTCTTGTAGACTTGACACGAGACATTTAGCAAGGACCACTCATGATTCCGGCGGGAATTCATGTTACAGAAAACTCAATACTTTTAATTCACTAAATAGTCAGAAAGTGTTACATGATAAATTGATCATGCTTAGCAACTGAATTGGAACTTTAGTAGTAATCTAGACTTAATAGCTCTATTGATAACGTGTTAGGCTTTGTAAGTAAAAGATACTAAGCTGGAACATCAGCACTAAGATGCTTTTACATTCAAATGGAATTACAAAAGTGTTTTGAATTACTCTGTTAGCTGTTATCCAAGTAGTGTATGAAACATGGCAAAGAGGTTGCATTGAAACAATTCAAAGTCAATGCACACGTCAAGAAAGGCCGATTGAATTTCAATCCTATCGCATATAAACAAAAAGATAATACAGAAGTCGAGTAATAATGACATAAACAGTTCATGTTTTTTTAAACTTGACAAAATCTTTAAGTATTATTTTTACCTATAAGTAAATGTTAGAATTCAATTGTGGATAATCTATTATATTATATAGTATTTCCTTACACTAGTTCGCTATTGTCTGCAGTTATCAAGATTCAAAGCTTCAATTAGTCAGCTACAACGCATAGCTTGGTACTTACGTACATCTCTTTAAGATACCATACGACATTAGTATAGACAGAATTCTCAATCCAAATCCCAGGGCAGTAGGAGTAGTGGCAATAATAGAGAATAAATTTAAAGTGAAAGAATGATATGAGGAATTCAGAGGATTAAAATTTGAGGGAAGACAAAGAATAGATGCATCCTCGCCATTATAAATGATTTTAGGCCATGTCATTCAACGTCTATAACCGCCATTTACGATTGTCTTACAGACCCCAAAGAGGCAGTCTACACCGATTAACATGGTTCAGTTCACTTGTCAATGACTTCGTGAATTTGTGCCATGTTTTGGTTTGACCATCAGTAGTTTTCTTCCAGCTTATACCTACGTAAGACAACTTCACTCGTCAAGACAGTCGGTGGTTAAACATATGTAGTACAAGTCTCAACCACATCAATTGATTTGCCATCCTGACCGAGTACCTTTTTCTAACCCTAGATTTCAAACTTCATGCAAGTTGTATTATTAAAGAATATTTACAAACTGTAAGCCAAAACTGTTTACTGGCAAAAATTCATTAAATGCAATGAGAAAACAGTCAAATTTATTATTTTTGCTTCAGCATTTTGGCCTAAAAAGAACAAAAGAGTAGAATGTGTTTAGTTCGAAATGTGAATCAATTTTTCATGATGTAATTATAGTAACTGAATAATAATGACAGCAGTTTGTGCGTTTTATACATTTTGATATAACAATGAGATGTAGCTAATCTGAAAAGTATTGTGATGTATTTGCGCTATAAGAATTTGGTCACACATAGATATAAGCACTTGTCAAGGCATTTTTTATGAAGATTAAGAAAAAAAGATTAGTTTTCTTTTCTTTACATATTGTTAGCGGATGCGTACTGTTGATGAGTCCCATACTAGAACGAAATGACTGTCCAGTGCTTCCAGTGTTTAATGGTGGCCTAACAATGATCTATTCATAATTGCAATAGAACCTAATTATCTTCATAACTCTTTGATGAAAAATCGGTTCTATTGTTAAGTAGAATGGTAATTCCAATATTTAGTAATTTCCAACTATTAAGGAACCTTTTTACAACATTTACCTGAAGAGCTTTATGTTTGTCGTAAATTCTGTGCAGTAGGGCAATTGATTTCAAAAAATTATCATTAGTATATCGACATCTCTTTAACCTTATTTCATTATTATTATTTTATAAATAATGCTGTGATATAAACAAATGCTTAAGAGATTTATAATGATTTTCTCATTAATTTATCCGGCGATCGGTTATCCAAGAGCATTAAAAATCGCTGATTGCAATAAAAGAATGGTGAGATATATTGGTTTTTATTCTTTTTTGTTAGCTGTCAGTGACGATAGTTAGTAAATCTTTATTGAATACGTATTAAAATATTTAGTGGTATGTCTGATAGATAAATAATGAAAATTGATCATTATTATTATTATCATCAGCATTATTATTATTATTATTATTATTATTATTATTATTGTTATTATTATTATTATCGAATACATAACCATAACACTTAACATTAATTCAAAACTATGAACAATCCATTGTGTAAAACTGATCAAGTTGCATCTAGAAGTGGTAAAAATACCAATGTAACTTTCTTATGATAAAATCTAAACCAATCGTTTTTTTCTAACGATTGATAAGAATTAAATCACATCAATGATTATTATTGCTAAACACTTTTTAATACAAAAGACAAGGAAGGCAATTAGGTGATGCTGATTAACCGCGTACATGTCAGTAACATTTATATTGAAATTGACATTAATAACTATATGCAATACAGCTAAAAGAGCATACCTTTAGACATCTTATTAAGAGATTGCAGAATCTAATGGAGAGGACTGAACTGGTTTTCTCATTGGTATTTTTGATACGCGTTAGTGGGCTTTGGACATTCCGAATGTTCACGAATTACTACTGACATACTTGAAGAAAAATTCGGGATCTCTAGT